ACATGTACCCGATATAAGTATTAATAAAAAGCTCGGACCAAAGAAGTCACCTTAATACCGAAAAAAAAAAAAAAAAAAAACAAAATAGCATTGTCATAATATTATCTATATATTACATAAATAATTATTCAAATTTTTACTATTGATAAGTTTTAAACTTATAACCTACTACTTAGAGGATTAACAACTTATTTATTTTACTAAGTCATTATATCCTTTATTTATAAATTATAAGTATTTTTTTTTATATTTTTATATTTTTTAGTAATTATAACAAGTTTTTTTATAATTTTGTAAGTTAGATATCTTTATTTTTTTTGGTATTAAAATGATTTTTTTTTGATCTTTTGACTTTTATTAACATTTTTTTTAATAATAACTATTATATAAAGAATATACAGTTAGCTATATATATAAGTTTTTTATATTCTTATTTAAGAAGTTTATTTGAAAGTTTTCTACTAATTGATATATATAACATCCTTGCTTAAATATTTTTTTTAAACCTTCTGAACTTGCAATCTGTATTAATATTACTAAGTCATATTCAGGTTATTATCTTAATCTTAAAACTATTTTATTCTTAAGTTAAATTACTTGAAATCTTGTGCATCTATTTTTATTATTAACTTAGTATTATTATAGCAGAACTAAAACTTGCAGTTAGAACTAGTTATTAAACTACTATACTCTTGTAGAGTTTGCATTTTTTTGTATAACCAGTTATACAAATGCCTTATAACCTGCCAGTTATACTGATATGACTATTATTACAAGTATATTAATCTAATCATTAGAAACAGTTACTATAATATGAGTATTACATAGATGATTATTTGTTAATAGAATTTGAATATCAAACCTACTACTTAAAGAGTTAACAACTTATTTACTTCACTAAATTATCACATTCTATTAAGGGTAGAGTATATAGGCTAGGTGCTGAAAAAAGGGACCAAATTGACAAAAAATAGATTTTACAGAAAATTAATTTTTATATTATAAAATCTATATTAATTTATAGAAAAATACAGATTTCAAATAGTTATACTGTAAATTTTTATTAATGTAATAGTGTTTCTTTCTTAAATGATAAATGTTCCTAAACTAATTTTAAATTAGTTAAGCTTAAAAAATTCATTTTGAAAAAATTGTCAATTTGGTCCTTTTTTCCAGCACCTAGCCCATATAATCATTCCTTCATATAATTATCTTTTATATAATCACATTATATATAATTACATTTTTGTTTATGCTAAATTATGATTTAATTTATAAAAAAAACTTTATATAAGCATATTTTTAAAGAAATTTACTATATGACCAACTGTGTAATTTTATAGAAGAATAAATGTATTATTTAATTGCCTATAAGATATTTAACCTTATTTGAGAATTCACATAATTAGACATGCTTCATTTTTTAAATTTTTACAATTATTATTAATTAACACGTCATTTTTCAATTTCAACTGATTGAAAAATAATTTCGAGGTTATTCTCATTATTTAATGATCAAAAGAAAGATCAAGATCTGAGCTTTCTTTTGATTATTAAATCTTGAGAATATTTTCGAAAACCATCGAGATATGAGCTGTGAAAGTTAAGATATTAAATTTTTTAAAAAAATAACGGAAACTCATGGATTTTACATAGTGAGGGCTTATATTTTCAAATATCCATGATAATAATTGAATAATGACGCAAACCTATGGAATATACACTACATATCAAGGTTGGCATTTAATATTATTAGTTATGTGGTATTCTTTACATACTATAACGATAAATGATTTACATTTCTTATATTTATCATGTAGGATAGATTTCATTTTATATAAAACTCAATTTCCAAACACGAGATTAGATTACGGATAGCTTTATTAAAAGAGATTGTGTATCATTTCCAATTCCAGAGAGCATGAGCTGCTAAGAATGGTTGAAAGAATAACGGGAGAATAATCTTGGAAATAGAAAAAACTAGTAAGTAAACTAGCAAGTTTTAATTTGATTTTATAACTATTCATTTTAATATAATGATAATAAAAAGAATCTCTAAATAACTGGCATTTGTTTTAATAAGTATTTATAATTAAATTATTTTGAATCAATCGATCTATAAAGACATACGTACCTACCTGCACGATATGCTAACGAAGAAGCATGGATAAGCGAGTCGAATTATGCTCATAGTGTATCAGGAATAACCGTGACACAGGGACCAACAGCTAACATGATCCCTTTTGACCATAAATCTGTCGATATGATTAAGGAGTTTTCTATTGCTAACGCCCATTCTTGGAATTTTAGCAATATCTTGTGCCACTCTTATCACTATCGTTATTGGTACAAATAAGGATTTTGAACAATATCACGAATTCATAAACCTCCTTTTTACAAAATTCACATCGATTTTCCCGGTGGTACTACATCAATAAAATAAGTGAAGTGTAAAATATCAGAACTTTGATTTTATATAGTACATAATCTTTTAATATTTCAGGAGCAATAGAAAAAAAATATTTATGTAATTCTTTATTTCGCCCTTTTTACATGATAAACAAGCGTCGATAGGCTACAAATAAGGTTATTATATAAGATACGCACTTCATACTATCAACTTCATTTAGTTGTAGTTCGTAATAATTTTTTTTAAAAAATAAAATAAAGATAAATATTTAGAATACCATATACTGTAATTTTTTTCTAAATACAAGTAAATAAAATAGTATGTACAATCTTTTATATTATCAATCGATTCGCGGTTGCGAATCGCCATTAATACGATAGTATTCTACTTTTTTATTCATCCGATTGGTATATCATTTGATGATTCTTACTACAGTATTATTTATTACAGTATTACTTGCCATTTTTAAATGTAAAATTTCATTTTTACTAAGCTTAAAAACAACCTCGTGATATTATTCACCATGATTGCTATTATAGTTACAGAATTATTGTCAACAACTTTCTTGTAATCATGTTGTTTTCCGGACAATAAAATTGTATGTATTTAAATCCTTTTAATATGAATAATTTAATTTTTTACCATTTTTTATTAGTGGGTAAGAATAGAATTTTGATACGTATTAATTAATAAAGGATAATTTTTAACCTAGGAAATTTATACATGTACACTAAAGGTCACTAGATTATTTATGATATTTTTGATTTTTAAACTATTCCGAAAATTTATCTTTTAAGGAAAATTAGAATAAGTACATACATTGTAGTAATTACTAAGTTGTATAATATAAATCAAGCACACCACACTATGTAAGTTTATTATCACGAATAACAATGATAATTATGATAATTGATTTCAAACCCTATTTTAGTAGTATTACAACAATAATTGAATGAAGTTATGTCTAATGATTATTATTGTTTCTCTTTTGTATATTAAGTTAAATACCCATTTTATTTACATTTTGTAAGACTAATGATATTGATATTTATTAATGTTAATTATAGAAATCTCGATATATAAGAAAGAAATCTTGTATCTGTTATATTTGTTGTATCTGTAAATGGTAAATTCTTAAGGTTTCCTTAAGTAGAAAAAATAATTAAAAAAACTGGTACGTAATCAATGGTACGTAATCAATGATACGTATTATCAAGTTCGCGTTTGTTTATACTAATTAAAATTTTGAATTTTCCGATAAATGATAAATTTATTAAGTCGAAAATTATTATCGTTATTGTAATTTTTATTATATATTTTTTTAAAACATTACAAATAAAAAAATGGCATTACATAACAAGAAACAATTAGAAACAATTAAACAATTAATTAATTAATTAATCAAGATTACATTATATGCGATATGTATAAATTTAAAATTTAAATGAATTTTTAATACGTAAGTTAGGGCAGAATATTAACCACACAGATATATTATATATATATATAAATATATATTATATAAATATTATATATATTATATATAGAAAAATTAATTACATTGAATTGTAAATTTATCGTAAATACAAGTGTACAGGCAAACGAATTTACAATTCTTTGAGGAAAAAATGAATTACTACATAACTACATGCATTAATCAAAAAAAAAAAAACAATACTACAATGAATTAATATATTCTACCGAAAAAATTGCATATACAAAAAAAAAAGAAAGAAAACAAGAAAAACCAAAGTTTACACCAAAAACAAGGCATCGTTATCGATTTCTCTTTCATATATGTGTAAAAGATATTCGAGCGAGACCATGTGAGTGAATTTATAATAATTATCAAGGGGAAAAATGCAAGACAGAAAAATTTTTACATGAAAAAAATGAATGTTTTATAATAAACTACGATGAAGGAGGAGAACTGGTTGCCTTCAAGAGCTTATTCAGTACAACTTGTGAACTTTCATGGCCGAGTTTGGACGCCTTAGTATAATAATGAATTGCCATTTCTACGTTTTTTGTCGTTCCAGTTCCCTGAAAACATGAATAATAATAAATAATAAAGATAATATACAAATAAGAATAAGTTATTATGATCATTATGAATATGATGATTATTATAGAACAGGATGAAACCTGAGTTACGAAATAGTGAAATCCGCCTTGTAGATCGAAATCCGCGGTTTATTATTTTTTTATTATTTATATATATATAAAGCGGATGTGATGATCACTATTTCGCAACTCAGGTTTCACCCTGTCGTATTATTATTATGATTATTATTATGATTATTATTATTATTATTAAATTACCTTTTCGTAGCAATCAGCCAGAAAATGCATTCCGACCATATTTCCTTGCCTTGAAGATTTTTTGTAATAATTGAATGCTTTATTACAATCTTTATCAGTACCTTTTCCGAATTCGTAACAATATCCAACCCAATTCTGACCATTAGTACTTCCACCTTCAGCAGCTTTTTGGTACCATTGGAATGCAAGTTTATCGTCGGCTTTCGTTCCGGAACCCGACGAATAGCATTCACCAAGCAAATATTGAGCAATGGGATAGTCCTTTTTTGCAGCTGCGAGATACAAAACATAAGCCTTTCTTGTATCTATTTCTGTTCCAATGTCATGTAAATAAAAGTAACCAAGGAGAGTTTTGTATTGCAGAGTATGTTGATTACATAATAACCACTCTAGGACTTCTACAGCATTAGTATTTCGCTTTTTAGTATGGTCCAAAATCATATTCGTAATTCCATTGTCATCTTTGCCAATTTGTTGAGCTTCAATGAAAAGTTCTAATATTTCATCAACAATTTTTTTAACTGCATCTTTAAGTTTACGATGGTTAGCTGGTTGAGGGATGATAATACTTCTTCTTTTCATTGCATTCATGGAAGGTCTGGCAATATCAGGTACAGATGAGGTCGCTGCGGTCATTATGTACTATTGTATCGAGAAAAGTGATTGAAGACTTTTAAATAGAAGGTATAGCAAATATATATATATATATATATATATAGATGAAAGGAATAGAAAAGAAGAAAAAAAAAAAAAATAGATTACAGAAAAAGTGGTAGTATGTGAAAATATAAATTTTAAGATATAAAAATGCGTAAATACTTGGGGGTGATTAATAACAATCACGCAGATTTGAAGCATGTACAAGAAATATTTATTGCATAATTTTAAAATAATTTTAGATGCACGGGAAGTTTACATTGTTATACAAATTTAAATTGAAAAGCATGACGTATCATAAATGGAATTAAGAATTTCGTGGATCTAACTAACACTAATGTAAACTAAATGTGTATGAATGATGAGTCATACGTATGTACTTGTTAAAAAAGACCAAATGTTGGTGTAGTTACGATGATCTAAATTTAGGATGTTTTACTAAATTTCGGTAGGAATAAGGTTCCAACCGATACATATTGACATATTGGTGTTAATTATTCTATATTAAAAATGACACAGCAACCTTTTCGGAAATTATTGGGGAAATAAATTTAACGTGCAAGCATTTAAATTTTTTTGGGGATAAATTTTATTTAGTAACGCAAGTGTGTAGATGTGTTCATCTTGTATATCAGTGTGCAGTGTGACGCTAGTAATTTACTAACGTTAAGGAGATTCTAAAATTAATGGTAAAATGGTAAGGCACTATCATTATGCGGAATACCTAAAATTAGGATGGTGAATAATATTCCGATTTGCTAACAATCTTTTTCAAAGCCAAGCAATTAGGGCTCTCGATTAGTATAAATGAATTCCAGTATCAGTAATGATAATAATGATGATAATGCTGATAATAATGCTAATAATAATGATGATAATGATGATACTAATGATGATACTAATGATGATAATAATGATGATAATATAAGGATTGTCTCTGTAAATCTCGAATGACATTTCTCAATATCATTATACCAATATCATTTATGCATTAATCATTTCATTTTATTGGGTCAATCTTAAATAGATACATCTTTACTATGTTAGTATTAAACTACTCCTGCAGAATAACACTAACCAACCATTAGTTTCAGTAAGTGCATTAGCCGATATGCTTAATATTAATACGTACACACCGCGCATACGTACGTACGTTTAATATCCGAAACATGACATTTAATAATACGTACGAAAATAGAATAAGTAACAACACTAAGTCTATTTATCAAAATAAGAAATTACTTTACGGATACTGTATGCAGTATAAAGGGTTCGGGCATTCTATTCTAATTTATAATCACGCATGGCAAGCAATACAACCCATCTTATTATAGTAAAACATCCGTATTATTCATAAAAATTCTCTATATCGAAAGTTAAACGAGAGTGAGTTGTACAAAATATAGAACTAAAACCGTTGGTTGTTAGGGGGAAACTTTGTTTCAGATTGTACTCATTTGTATCCATATGGATCCATATGGATCAGGGTATTTTTGATTAATACCCTGTGATATTGTTACAGTGATCAGGGTACTAATAGAATTATTATAGTGTATACATAAACAATAAATATGTTTATCTGTTATGTGCATACGTACACATACGTACATAGATTATCATAATATCTAATGCAAAAGAACATTCAAAAAAACTTAATAATTGTTTCTAAAAACCTTAATTCAAACTTTAATTCTTTGTCAAAAGTAAAAGCTTTTAAAATTCTAAATACCATAAAAATTTTTGAAAATTGTATTTTCTCTGATAAATTGTTTGATAACTGATAAATTGTTCTTATTTAAAATAAAGAGTCCTGATGTTTTTACACTCTTTATTGACATTATTACACTCCTATGTAAATCACTTTTTTTTTTAACTTCGGTCAAAGGTATCTCGACAACCCATCTAATCCAACCAAATTCGATGGTTTTTTTTTATCTGAATTTTACATATTTGTAGAATTCAAATAAAAAAAAATCTTCAAATTTCAATCTAAATAAATAAATAAATATATATATATATATAAGTAAATACAGTATACATACGTATATGAAACCATTGTTTATATACTAATAGAAAATTTTCATATGAAATTTTACTACGTACGTATTAACAACTATTTCTAAGGCGTGCTTACAAGAATTTTTTATACCTACTATATACAGTAAAACCTTCTATATACAATCTTTAATTAAAATATCTCAAACTCTAATGTAAACATAATTCTAATTTTATAAATACAATTTTTTTATTTTTTTAAATTTATATTATCAAAAACATGATTTTTATTATGTTTTTTAAATATAAATAATTAATATAGAATGTTCTAAATAATATATAGTAAAATTTTAATATTAATTTTAATTTAATTTTATAAATTTTTTTTTAATTCTTATTTCTAATTAATATACTTATTTTTTATTATTTGTTTAATATAAGTTTATATATATTTTTTTGAATATCCCTGTTATACTTACAACTAGGAGTGCAAGTGGTGCTCTTTTATTAAGATATTATAAATAACTTAGTTACTTTTTAGATATTTATATATTAGTTTAAAAGATTTGAATCTAGTACTAAAAAAGTTATTTTTTATAATTTATATTTCTTTTAAAATACAATTTTTAATAAGAAAGCTTAAAAAGTTAAAAAATATATCTAAATTTTTTTATTTTACAAAAATGTATTAGCATCATATTTTATAAATTGTAATAATATATAACTAAATTATACACATTTTTAAAGACTCTTTCTGATGATCATTTGAACCAAACTTTCCAAAAAGCCGAACTACAGAAAATAATATAGTTAATATATTAAACTTTATGAAAACCTTTCTGGAGTACTGTACACGCA